TCTTTACGCCATTTGCCTCTGTCTACCCAGCAGCAAGTGGGGACCTGGATGTAAAATCGGTTTGTGGATCGTGTTCAGGGGTAATGGTTAGCCAGTGCAGTTGGCGAGTTGTCCGGTCTTCTCGGACCATTCCTTGACACTGGGTCATGCAGCTTGTTAACTTAGGGTGTGGTTGTTGTGTTGGCGACAGCTTCTACACCTTAAACAAATTCACGCCTAGGTGGCCCTTGGGCCGGCTATCCACGAGGGGGAACCACTATATACTGTAGTGGTGAATTGAGCAGGAGAACACAACCTACAGTACAATATCTCCTTCAGGATGTGTCTTCAGGATGAATTATATAGCACAGGATTGTAACCTTTTCTTTAGTCTTATGTTGATGTTATTACCACACTTTAAAAAAATAATAATATCTTGAAGCGCGTATTCTAGATTAGCATATATAAAATTGTACAATAATGAAGCACTGATACTTAAATTAAACACTAAAACTGGATTGAATAATTATGACAGTGTAAATAATAAGTTGAGGTGGAAATAAAACTCACTAGTAGGTGCGTAATTTTTTTTATGAATAGTAAAGGTTAACAGACTCACGCTATAGTCACTTAGCACACACCACAAGGATCTGTTTTAGAGAAATACTTAAATAAACACTGGAATGTGAAAGGCACAGTAAATATACCATATTATTACTAGACCTACCAACACAAGGAGTGAATGCCCGAACAGATATTTGTATATATATATTTACAATATTATCATCAGCTGTTAAGGGGGGGAGGGGGGGTGAAATATCTATATAACACTTAGAGAAATTAATAATGGATAATAATTATACTTTCTTATGTCTTTCAATCTGGAACAATTTAAATAAGGTTCACAAACATAAAGTTAACTATTTTTTGTGGACGTTGTTCATCCGTGTATTTTATTATATCAATGTTGAGGGAGTCGGGATGAAGCCCCAACTGACGTCATATGAAATTTATTGATTATTTTATTGTTGTCAAAACCCCGAAGAGGCGAGTGAGGAGCAGAGGAACTTTTAGCCAGTTTTTCCTTCATTATTTGCTGGGCTTTTCAGAATTGTTTTATTTACTAACATATTTTTTTTTCTACACATTTTGTTTCTACTGAGGTAATCACGCGACACATGTGACCATATAAGACTATAAGTAATGTGAATTCGTAAGAAAAAACGATGTTATTATGGGTTTTTTTCTCTACATAATTACCTGTATAATGCCCTTGGTAATTATCATTTCATTATGGTAAGACGTGACGTTATAGAAGCGTGCGGTGACATACCTGGATGTTTACTCATTTTGAATCACCTGGAGATTCTTCCTCTCACTAGCTTATTTCACCTGAATATTTAACAACGTAACGCTAACCTAATCTAACCTAACGCTAACCGAACCTAACCTAACCTAACCTAACCTAACCTCATCACCACAGATAACATGAAGGTGGTTAATCTTTATGTGAAATAAGTTAGGGAAGGAGATTCGTTATTGGTGGTCCCTCTAATAGAAAGTCTTTATGTCCTTTGATAAATAAGAATTCATTAATATCTATAATAAAAAAAAATCTAAATAAATCCATTGCCATTAGTTTTTCAATATAATTGTTTTTAATACTTTAGGAAATTTTTTTTAGCTTCATAATGTTTATACTGAATATTTGGAAGTCGTAATAACTATTGGTATCCCGGGTAACCAGATGAACTTCTTATGAACTATGTAAACAAACCCAAACTTTGTGTCGTGATTTTAAGGTATCATTTGTAGACTCAGCATCGGTCTGTCATGAAACGTGATTCTCGTCTCATTGTTGACGTTTGGTGGTATACAAGATGTGACGTCTTTTGTATCCAGGTGTGATCTGCTTAACCTGATTGAAACAGCTCAAAAAAAGGTGATTAGATACAGAGAAAAGTGACATATGAACTGTTCTTTCGCAGGTTAATTAGATAAGTTATTATAGTTTGTGCCATGATTCATCTTTAACAATAGAATCCTGAAACAAGGGACACCTGAGACTTGACATAATATAACCCATTCATATTACTGTAATTAGTGAAATGTTGATGATTTTCTTGCGTCGTTTATATAAAGACTATATGAGTTTCCCTTTACAATTTAAATCCCAAGAATTCAATCCCTTAGTGTCCTTATTGTACTATAATTTTCTCTGTAAGTATATGACTGTATAGTAATTTACATCATAGAACTTAAAGAAACAATTGAAACCTAATCAGATTATTGACTGAAATCTGCTTGAAGGGGAAATGGTTCAACTAAACATTCATTTTCCATTTGAGTTCATCCATTATGATATATCAACAATCAGTGTCTGTAGAGGAGACATCTATACGGAGGTTATCTTCTGAATGTCTTTCCTGATTAACATTGTGATTTGCTAAGTCATATTATAAAATGTAAATCAGATACTTAACACCATAACACAATGATTAAGAATTCATTTACATTTGACGATTTACAATGAACCGTGTTAGTGATTTTTTTTATTTTGTATTTTCATTGTTATTTCCAGGGTTTGTTTACATCATCATTAACTCATATAAGGGATATTGTTTTGTCATTGTACGATTCATCATTAACATTATTCTACTTGTGAGGTGACGCTAATGTTATTTTCTTTGCGTTAAGGTATTCGATGCTGCTCTTAACCCCTTGAATACGACGCTTTAACCCTATGACTTCGAAGACTTAACCCCATAAGAACGATGACCTGCTTCCTTGAGTCATGTGTGTTCAAGAGGCTAAGTCATCGTAGTCAAGGGGTTGTCATCGTACTCAGGGGGTTAAGTCATCGTAGGCAATGGGTTAAGTCATCGTACTCAAGGGGTTAAGTCATCGTACTCAAGGGGTTAAGTCATCGTACTCAAGGAGTTAAGTCATCGTACTCAAGGGGTTAAGTCATGGTACTCAAGAGGTTAAATCACAGTAGGTAATGGCTTAAAGCATATCGTACTCAAGGGATTAATCGATATAATTATAACCCCATTCTATAATCCTGCTTCAGAAATACTTCCTTCCATAATCTTCTTCCTCTCTGATGACGAATGAATTTCCCCACTAACTGAAGAAATAAGCCACAGCTGATCTAAACAACCTGAGCTATAACAACCTTCTAAAATTATATATATACTTTTTTTTTTTGGTTCTTACATACGTTTACAAAAGATTAAGTATTATCACTACTACACATGGATTATAATTACCATAAGATAGTCTCAACTGTCACAGGGTTATCATTATTTACTATATATATAAAAAACACCAATTTTTTTTTAAGAAGCTATACAAAACTAACGAACAAGCACTTCGTTATAGAAATTACTATATACATGTCTAACTACTTACTGACATGCCCCTTGTCAGGTCACTCAAGCATACTCAAGCATTTCATCAACATTAATAGTAGTAGTAGTAGTAGTAGTATTTGCATTTGGTGGTAATGGTAAGAATAGCGATGGTAATAATAATAGTAATAATGATACTAGAACATAATAATAGTATTAATATTGATAGATAGATATTGACAACAAAGATGATAATAATATTAATAATAATAATAATAATGAAAACCGTGACAAAACGTAAAGAACAAAACATGCAAAATAATCATTACATACTACATAAAGATACATAACTCGTGGCGTTATTTTGGCACAATGCAGACATCAGTGAATCTGTTTATAGGAGAAATTATTTAACCACTTCCTTCGTCAAAAAAAAATGTATATATTATTTAACTTCAGAAGTACATTTACAAATACTGGAAACTGTTATTATGTGTGTGTGTGTGTGTGTGTGTGTGTGTGTGTGTGTGTGTGTGTGTGTGTGTGTGTGATCTGTAGCCTACTAAACACTCGCTAGCCTCATCTTCCTTCCCACAATAGGCTATATAGGCTGTACTACATTACGTTTGTCTAAGTTTTGGTATATGTGAGGAGATGAATTTAGCTTACGTGTCTTCTGTTTGAAATCCCATAGTGGTTTTGAGCCCGTTTCTGATGAGTTAATTTTATTGATCACTTCATTCATTAAAAAAAAATGCAGAGAAATACTAATTTAATAGCAAAGGAAGAATGGAATGTTACACGTTAAAAGCAAAACTGAGAAAATAAGTTTGAAATTAATATAACTTTACCAATATTTAAAATTGAAAAAAAAAATTATTTCGATTTCATAATAACATAAATAATTATTAAAAAAGAAACATATGTGTCTTAAATTAACATACTGAAGACTGATATGTACCGCAGTTTTCGACACATATTTTTGGTCCAATCCCTCCATCAGCCTACCATGACCGATAACAGGACTCTGGCGACATCACAACATAAATACTAGGGTTATCGCTGCTCATTTTAAACAATAATTACACGTATGTTATTACAGCACGGAATGGAGAAATTCTGGTTGGAAAAAAAAATGATGGGCAAAATTCTATTGTACTTAACATTTAAAGTATTATTATTCCAATTAACACAGTGATATTACACTAATTTTGATATACTTACACTTTGGGTGGTAATTATATTTTGTTTGTATGTGGAATGTGTTTCATCAGCTCTTAATATTTGGAACAGAACTAAATTATAAAAAGAAACGTATGTAATAACGCTGTCAATTATTATTTTTAACATCTAAATGATTTATACCTAAGGTCGATAAGGTTTAAAAAAAATGTATGAAAACAAATATTTCTTATAAAGTATTTGGCGGGATGTTATCAAGTTCAATACACCAGAATTTGTTCATCAGTTTCGTTCAAGGTTTAAGGAGACTCTCAAACTAACTGACTAACATTCCTGTGTAAGTCAGGTGTAATAAACATGCTCCAAAAGGCACCAAAGTGTATTAGAGACATGAGTGTGTTTGGCATGAGTGTGTTTGGCATGAGTGTGTTTGGCATGAGTGTGTTTGGCATGAGTGTGTTTGGCATGAGTGTGTTTGGCATGAGTGTGTTTGGCATGAGTGTGTTTGGCATGAGTGTGTTTGGCATGAGTGTGTTTGGCAATGTTTAAGGGTAAATCTGTGTGGTTAATTTACACTCGCAGTTTTACCAATGGCAGTATTTTCTCCCGCCCAAACTATTACACAAGGTTTTGGTTGCTAAAAAAAAATAATAATAATACAGTTAGGAAAACAAAGTGATAGAGGTAAGTAATTATACCTAAAACGTAACGCGTATAATATATTGTTTGGGAGTTAACATTGTTACACCAAAGCTTCCCCCACCTGCTATATGTTCACTAAGATTCTACAGTTGCGAGGATTGTGGTGGACAGGAGCGCCGTAGTTGTGGGTTAATATGTAATTTTTACACAACATATTTTTTGATACTTTAGATTCAAAGTAAGTTTGGCAGTGAGAAATCTCACTAACTGTTTTATTCACTCCTGACGTGTTTGGTTTTTTTGTGTGAATTTTAATGTGGCACAAAGTACAGTATTATAACTAGTTAACTCTATGTTGTTGTTTTACACATGTATTGATTAGTCTGAGGTTTGCCGTCTTGTGCAGTGTGTTATATCTTTGTGACCTGAACACTTCACTGGTGAAGCCGTCAAGAGCAGGCGAGAGTCTGTCCTGCCTGGTCCCCGGACCTGCGGCAGATGCGGTGGTATAGAGTGTAGAGGCAGAAGACTCTACGGGTCCTGGTGTGTTACTTGGTTCGGTTTCTATCCTCCCATTAACTGTATCAAGTCCGTCTTCACCGTAGTATCGGCTGCTGAGTTAAGTTGCTCGCATCAAGTTCTGGACCTAAAAATGATGTTACGTTCTGACACATAAATTTGCAGGAGGTCCCTCACTGCACTGATACAGCCGCTGTAATATGTAAACATCACTTACTTATAGCTTCCTGACTCACTGACTCACACTCCTATGTGCTTCAGTGACTGTTCACTTAGAATCCTGCTTGAAGGTCAATGTTTGTCCACATTGTTGTCAGTCTGGCTGTAATGTTGCGGAAGTGTTGAGGTCCTGGAATGTTCAACAACCATTGTTTGTTGCTGATGGTTGTCATGGGCAGGTGTTGTGTCCGTCACTTGTAGGTGCTGTGTGTCACGGTCAAGCCCATGACCTGTGTAATGGTGGAAGGCATTACCAGGGTGTCCGCTGGGCATTGCACCGTTACTACGGTGGGGCCAAGTGTTGCTGGCCACTTGGCGATAGGAGATGAGGGGAGGACCGGGGTCCGGAGACCGGTGTTGGTCGTCGGTCCGGGTTAGCCTGGTTCAGGCTGGCTGGCCCGGCGATCCTTCAGGTGGAGGTCGGGGATCGGGAGAGCCCGGCCGCTGGTGTGTGGGCGAGGCGCTGCCCTTTGGGTGAAAGTAAGGGGCGAAGCGATGTAAGCCAGGCGCTAATGGAGGATAGACAGGCCGGGGCAGCCTCACTCCGCCATCACCTCCACCTGTACTGCTGGACTGCGAGGACGTAGCTCCGCTCTCTCTCGATACAGGTCCCACGCCCGTAGGGGAGTTGTGGGCGGCGGCAGCTGCTGTGAGCGAGGCGTGGTGGGCCAGCAACGTGGCATTCACTTGGTTGAGACCGTGCAATGCTGCCCACTGTGACCACAGCTGCAGCGGTAAGTTGACGGGCGAGGGTGTGGTGGCCGCCCTCCCGGCCCCAAGGTTGTACAGCTGGGAGATGGCGGGAGGCAAGTTTCCGAGACCGCCCAGACCCGAGCCCAAGCTCGGCCCAAGTCCTGTCCCCAGCCCGCCTGTGGAGAACGAAGACGAAGGTGGGGCTAACGAAGTGGTGGCGAGGGATGTCGTCGGGGTGGTGGGTGTAGAAGTGTGTGAGGAACGGAAGAACATGTGGGCGCGGGCGGCGAGGACAGCGCGCTCCTCCAGGGAGAGAGGCGAGGCGGTGCTTTGGTGTGCCTCCAGGGAGGGCGCCAGGGCGGTGCGGAAGTAAGGGTGCTCTGACAACATGCTCTCCATCGTCTCCCTGCAACATATAAATGACAACATTAACCACTACAGTGTCACATCTCTGCTGAATAAAATATTAAAGTAAAGTCCCGGTAGTGAAGAGTTGATGAAATTCTGGTCAATGCTGTAACGTATGACAAATAACATATATATACCTTGTATTATAAATATTCCATTTAACCTCTAAACTACACATGACCCATCTCTCATGACCTTAAGCATACCTCATATAACTAACCCAATCCTTTGAAATAGTGTTCATATTCTGCTCACTATCGCCTCTGTGGTCAACACCCAACCTCTTATAATTCATCCCACATCTTATTCTCCTCGACTGTAGACCAATAACCATCCTCTCAAACACTCGATTAACTCATCAAGGATCATAAGCAAACAATAATAAAAACATCCTCTTGGAATTCCTACAGAAACACAGAATGAATGAGGAGTCTCGTCTACCCTCTAACTCACACACACACACACACACACACACACACACACCACACCACAAAGTGTTCACCGGAAATCGATTCACGAAGGCCACATAACCTGTCCGTAATTTAATAAAGCCGACTCCTGATTCAACCTCTCCCCTCCCTTTCCCTCTCTTCCCCTCTCTTCCTCTCTCCCCTTCCCCCATCCTCTCTCTGTCCTCTCTCACTAACTCCCCCCCATCTCCTCCCCTTCTCTCTCTCTCTCTCTCTCCCCCCACACACATACACCACCCCTGGCCACCGCAATTATGCCTGATTGTTTAACTCTGATATCCAATCTGATCATACACCTGAAACAGACTAGTCCACACAATACATCTCAAACAATACAGTGCAACTTTTTTTTTTGTGTATGTGTGTGTGTGTGTGTGTGTGTGTGTGTGTGTGTGTGTGTGTGTGTGTGATGACGTTAGTTTAAGCACCCCAGATTTATTTCAATGAGTTTAATTATCACACCTGAATTTACTCTTTTTATTATTATATCTCATAAGTGAATTTACTATGATCACTACTTACCCCAAAGAGATTTGGGTTATTGTAGTTTCATCTCTAAACTCCTTTATACTGCCCTCCCCCCTTCTCCTCTCCCCTCTCTCCTCTCTCCTCTCTATCCCTCTCTCCCTCTCCCTCTCCCTCTCTCTCCTCCCCTCTCTCCCTCTCTCTCTCTCCCTCTCTCCCTCTCTCCTCCCCACCGAAAAAATAATATAAATTCAGGAAATGTTTTTGATGTGTCGTTTAAGATTACAATTTCCCTCAAACATTATCATTAAATTAAAGCCTTTATGTCTGTTCTTTTAATACTAGGATACACAGATATAAATAATGAGAGTCATACTGGAGAAAAAAATACATAAATCTTTGTAAATTTTCAATAAAAGGAATAATATTGAGGATAAGTTTATAAAAATATATATAGATAACATTAATTAGTCAAAACATACGTGAAATATCTCGCTAGACGTCTTAAAGGATCAATAATATCAAAGAACTGTATCTTAACATCTTCAATAGACAGACATAAATTTTAAAAAACTTCATAAGAGCTTAACTTAGTTCTCCAGTCAATTAAAATTCTTTCATATTTACTTAAAGTTTGAAAAGAAATATATTTTTAATCCAGTTGATAATTTTGCAAGCCGTCCAGACTTCAAAATCCAAGTAGAACATCATAAATAAATCCTAAGCTCTATAAATCCATCTAGAATCTCCAAAATATGTCGTTAACCCTAGAAATTGCACCCAGACTGTCATAAATCCACCCAGAAACTCACAAATCCACCCAAAACCACAAAAAATCCACCTACAACATCATAAATCCACCCAGAAACTAAAAAATCCACCCAAAACCACAAAAAATCCACCTACAACATCATAAATCCACCCAGACACTCACAAATCCACCCACAACCACAAAAAATCCTCCTAAATCATAAATCCACCCAGAAACTAAAAAACCCACTCAAAACCTAAAAAAATCCACCTAAATCATAAATCCACCCCCTCCCATACTAGAACTTTAGAAATCTAACTGGTGGGTTTGTGGAAATCCGAGTTGAGGTCCAGGTTGGCAGGGTGTGAGAGAAGGTGTCGGGGCCTGACTGAGGGGTCGGAAACACGTGTTGCTGCCACCGAGGGGAGAGGACACAAGAGAGGGGAAGACCAGGGGCAGAGAGGGGAAATACTGGAGTGAAGGGGAAACTGGTGAACAAGGGTAGTGACAAAGGAAATGGTGTTTGTGTGTGTTTGTGTGTATGTGTGTGTGTGTGTGTGTGTGTGTAATATCATCTAACGAGAAATAGAGGTAAATATAGATATATATATAGATAGATTGATAGACATACATACATACATACATACATACAGACAGATAGATAGATAGGTAGATAGATAGAACAAACAAACACATATAACAAAGAAACAAACATAAATTGAAGGTATGAAAACAAACAAAATAATCAAAATCAGAATCAAGGAAAATAAAAAGAAGAATAGGAAGGAAAACGAATCAGGAGGAGACAGAGAGTGATGATATGAGACCAAGGGAATGAAAGGGTAATACATATACATTGGAGGAGAATAGGTATACATAGAGAGACAGTAGATATACATATAGGAAATTAGGTATACATAGGACAGGATATACATAGAGAAGAAATATACATAGAAGGAATACGAGAAAAATTATTGAAGGAACCTAAGAAGAGTGTAGTAAGATAACCCCCCTGCCCCCACTCCACCACCCCCGCCCTACCTTCTGGCACTATAGGCATAACAGATGGACAGACGGACAGACGAGCAGACGGACAGACAGACAGACAGACAGATTTAGGGGAGAGGAATCAATGAATTTAACACCTGTCTGTCAATTTTTTTTCCCTTATACATCATTTGAGTGAAAATTTCGATAAAAAATAACCAAATAAGTTGATTACACACAGACAGACACAGATAAGTTCAATTTACACACACTGATCGATATATCACCCAGTCCACAAATGCCGAGGGGACTAATCATTAATTGTATAAACAGAATTTTAAATAATGACATACATACATACATACATACATACATACATACATACATAACATACATCATACGTCTAATCTACACAAACAAATACAGTCACCAACACACACACACACACACACACACACACACACACACACACACACACACACACACACACACACACACACACACACACACAAACACACACACACTTAGAGGGGAGGAAGGATGAGAGACCCCTAGGGAGGAGTGTAGTAGGATCACTGACACCCGCAACACGTGTACCTCTGAGGGGGACGCCGTTGACGTTGGGATCGAGAAGGAGGAAGAGAGAAGAAGAACACACACACACATATCAAGAAGGAGAGAAGGAAAGGGAGAAGTTAAGAGAGAAAGATAGAGATATATGGATGAGAGAAGAGGAGGGAAAGGGAGAGAAGGGGGAAAAAGAGGAGGATGAGGGGAGAGGGGAGAGGAGGGGGCGGGGGGGAGGGGAAAGGAGGGCGGGGGGAGGAGGGGGGGGGAGGTGAGGGGGGGGGGGAGGTGAGGGAGGGGAGGGAGAGGCAGGAGGGCGGACAACAAAGAGGGAGGGACGGGGTGGCAATGGGAGATTGATAGACCCGGGATCAGAGAGGGGAAGGAGGGGAGGGGAGGGAGAGGGAGGGGAGAGAGGGGGGAGGAGGGAAGGGTTAGGGGAGTAGGGGAGAGGAGGAGGAGGAGGAAGGGTTAGGAGATAGGGAGGGAGGGAGATAAAGGAGATGGTAGTGATGGAGGGAAAGCTAGCTAGGAGAGAGAATGTACTTAATGTGCAGTAGACTTTCCGTTTTTTGTTTTTTTTAGATTTAATAATAAAAATGGAGCTGTGCAGTTATACCTTCCACACACACACACACACACACACACACACACACACACACACATACATACATACTTCTCTCTCTCTCTCTCTCGTTAACTACCCTGACTGGCGATACGGTCATCTGTACAGCACATCAAAAGCCTCAATTAACTACATTACACATCCATCACAATAATGATTATCCACGAAATCGTTTCATTAGTGTCAATCGTCATCAGTATAATCTCCTGTATATTTCTCATCTCTTATTTTACTAATTTATTTCCATTATTATTGTCTAAATAATCTTAGTTTGCCTCTTTATAGTTTGTTGTTTTTTCTTAGTAATGTCCTTTGCTTGTTCGTATTTTATCTGGATTTATTTTTGTTTCCCCTGTAAAAACGTTTTCTTCCTTAGCATCCCCCTCTCCCCACTCATCAGCATCTTACTAGTGTTTACTTTTGTTTTCCCTACAAATATCTCACTTGCTTCTTTTTCTCTCTCTCTCTCTCTACCAACTAAAATTTTTCAGTTGCAGCGTTACCCACACACCCTACCGCTCATTTCACGTGCGCTCGAAGTAAATCATGATAAATTGCTTTCGTAATGGTGAGCGATAATCTCCTTTTATCAGATTTCAATTAATCTAAACCAGCGAAAAAGATGCAATGACACCTAAAGCCCTTTTTGAACTATTAAATTACATTACATGGTACTTATACGATCAGTGACAGCAGCCAACAGTATTAAATGCACTTGAGGATCTTACTACTACTACTACTACTACTACTATTACTAATACAGAGATATATAAAGGAAGAGAGAGAGAGATACTACCACTATTACTACTACTATTAATGTAGTGTACTAATATTTCTAATACTGTACTAAGAGAGAGAGAGAGAGAGAGAGAGAGAGAGAGAGAGAGAGAGATGATGGCTACTGCATAAATTTGAAATGTTAACTTAAACAGACGACTAAGTATCAAGATATTCAATTTTGTCACAGTCTTGGTGTTACTATCTATCTATCTATCTATCTATCTATCTATCTATCTATCTACCTTTATCTATCTATCTATTTATAATTCAGAAAAATATATATACACCCAAAATTAATAATAAAACAATGAAAATCTTGTCCATTAGGAAAGTCAAATACAGAATCTACAAGACCCCTGGCAGGCGATGTACAAACTAAACAAAAATTGACGTTGATGAGCAAAAATTGACGATCCGGAGTAAAAATCGACGCTGTAAAGTAAAAATTGACGTTGATGAGAAATAATCGACGTTGATGAGAAATAATCGACGTTGATGAGTAAAAATTGACATTGATGAGTAAAAATTGACGTTGTAGAGTAAAAATCGACTTTGATGAGAAAAATCGACGGTGATGAGTCAAAATCGACGTTGCCGACTAAAATTTGATGTTGCTAAGTAAAAATTGGCGTTAGAGAGGAAAACTCGATATTGCAGAGTAAAAAAAAACATAAATATTAAAACATTCTTTGGTCGTGTTTACCTCGTCATCAACTTACACACAAAAATAGCAGGTCCTCATCATTATGGTAATTGAAAACAAACAGATAGATACTAAGTGTTTGTCATTCATGTTTACCAGTATGTCATGTCACTGTCGATCAGTTTATTAGTTTTTGCTTCACATTCTACTTTAAAGAGAGATTTTGCTTCACATTCTACTTCAGAGACAGTTTTTGCTTCACATTCTACTTTAAAGAGAGATTTTGCTTCACATTCTACTTTAAAGAGAGATTTTGCTTCACATTCTACTTCAGAGACAGTTTTTGCTTCACATTCTACTTTAAAGAGAGATTTTGCTTCACATTCTACTTCAGAGACAGTTTTTGCTTCACATTCTACTTTAAAGAGAGATTTTGCTTCACATTCTACTTCAGAGACAGTTTTTGCTTCACATTCTACTTTAAAGAGAGATTTTGCTTCACATTCTATTTCAAAGACAGTTTTTGCATCACATTCTACTTTGAACACTATTTCTAATCACATTTTACCTCAAAGACAATTACTACTTCAAATTCTAACCTGAGAAGACAAATTACACCCATACAAAATGATCCCCTTGTAAATTATCTTCACATAATGTCCATCCATTCATTTATTCACACCTGCTGAACACCTGTCTTACAAGAAATGTGTACTGTACTTGTTTATTTGATCTTTAAGTCCTAGTACATCTGTTTCATTCAGCACCTGATCTTTTTACAGCTGTTTCAATTGTTCCAATCCAACCCTACATCACCCACATCTGTTTCAAGAGTTACAATCCAACCTTACATCATCCACACCTGTTTCAAGAATTCCAATCCAACCCTACATCACCCACACCTGTTTCAAGAGCCACAAACTTACCCCACGTCATCCACACCTGTTTCAAGAGTCCCAAACTTACGCTACATCACCCACACCTGTTTCAAGAGCCACAAACTTACCGCACGTGATCCACACCTGTCTAATCCTCCTCCCAGTCCTTTTCCAGCAGCCTCGTACAGCTGCTACACCTTCCATACATGTACCAAACCTGAACCACTATACCGTAAAAGTCTCATATGTTGTCCCAATACCACACACATATGTACACCTGCTTTGTGCCATCTACATACACACCTATCCACGCACACATACACACAGTCCAAAATAGATAGACAGAGACACACACACACACACGGTCTTGTTCCACGTCACTCACACACGCACCTGCCCACATACCACCCACACACCTGCCTCATACCACCCACACATACATGCCTCATGCCATCCAAACACACATGCCTTAGCCACCCACACACACCTGCCTATACCACCCACACACACAACTGCCTCATGCCACCCATACACATACTTGTATCGTGCCACCCATACACACACCTGCTTCATGCCACCCACACACACACACACCTGCCCTACACCCACACACACACACCTGCTTCATGCCACCCGTACAGACCTGCTTCATGCCACCCACACACACCTGCCTCATGCCACCCACACACACACCTGCCCCATACACCCAGAACGTCTTATTGCGCCTTGCCGCCCCATCCATCAGCTGGCTTAGCTATTACTGGCGTGGCAAGAGTGACCCTTCCTCTCCCCCTTTCTCCCCCCCTTCTTCCTCCCTCTCCCTCCCATTCCCTCTTTCCCTCTTTTTCCTCTCCTCCCACCCCTCCCTCACTCCCCCTGTTCCTTCTACCTTCTCTTCCTGATTCCATCTCCCTCCTTCCTTACTTCCTTCCCACCCTTCCTTCCATTCCCCATACCCCTATTCCTCCTCACCACCCACCCCTTCCTTAGCTCACACGCGGGTCATACTGGGTCACTGCTTGCCTCCAGGGCACACCCTTCTCTTCCTCCCCCTTTCTCACTGTTCTTTCCTGCCTTTCTCTCTCCTTCTCATTATTTCACCTTCATGGTCTTTCTACCTACTCCCTCTTCTTCTTCTTCTTCTTCTTCTTCTTCTTCTTCTTCTTCTTCTTCTTCTTCTTCTTCTTCTTCTTCTTCTTCTTCTTCTTCTTCTTCTTCTTCTTTCTTCTTCTTCTTCTTCTTCTTCTTCTTCTTCTTCTTCTTCTTCTTCTTCTTCTTCTTCTTCTTCTTCTTTTGCCTTCCTCCCTATTTCCTTCTTTCTTTTCCTTCCTCCGTTTCCTTCCTTCGTCTCCCTACTGACTATTCCTCCTTCACAGTTCCGTTACTCCTTCCTCTCTTTCTCCTTCTCTCACTTAACTTCTCTTCCTTCCCTATGCCTTCTCCGGTCCTCTATTCTCCCCTCTTTATTACCCTCTTCTCCCCTTTCTTACACCTGTTCATTATTTACCCATTTATTTAATTATTCGTCGAGTTTTTATTTTTATTTTTTGGGGAAATTTTTTGTTCAATGTTTTTTGATTGTTATTTTTATTATTATTATTTTGTAATTTTTCTTCTTAGTTTTATTAATTGTAGGTTTTCTTCTTTCTTTCATTTCTTTACATTTTTTATAGGTTTGTAAGCTGTACATATAGTAAATAGCACAAACACACACACACGCACACACACACACACACACACACACACACACACACACGAAACCATCTCCACCATTACCCGAGTTCCCATTCCTGGGTAAGGGAGGTTGGTGATGGGTAGAGGATAGGGGAGGGGGGGTGTAGGGTTAAGTATGTATGTGGATAGAGTGGGTTAGGGGGTGTGTTTGTGGGTGGGATGGATGGGGTTGGGGAGGAGGAGGAGGAGGAGGAGGTCAACCCAGGCCAACAAGAACACCCACTGAGCCGTGACTCGTGGAGGGGCGGCACTTTGACCCTCCCTGGCCACCTGCGGGGTCAAATTTACGTGGGCGTGGCCAGTAGGTCATGGGAAGTTGGAGGTAGTCACGTGTGCACCTCCCGACACGCTATGACCTGACCTATGGTGGGGAGTAGGGGTGATGGTGGGGAGAAAAGGTGATGGTGGGGAGGAAAGGTGATGGTGGGGAGGAAAGGTGATGGTGGGGAGGAAAGGGGTGATGGGTGGGGGGAGGAAAGGTGATGGTGGGGAGGAAAGGTGATGGTGGGGAGTAGGGGTGATGGTGGGGAGAAAAGGTGATGGTGGGGAGGAAAGGTGATGGTGGGGAGGAAAGGTGATGGTGTAACAATGAGGAAGGAGAAATAAGGAAGGGAGGTAGGATGGGGCGTAGTAATTGAAGAAGAAGAAGAAGAAGAAGAAGGACGATGATGATAAGGAATAACAAATATGGAAATAAAGATGAAAGATAAATAAAGATGGGGAGGAAAGAAGTTAGGAAAGAATGGTGAAGAGAGATAACACGAAAACATAAAGAGGGGGAAGGGAAAATATGAAAGAAAGAGGAATAGAGATAATAAACAAGAAATGGAGATAAATGGGAAAATAGAGGAATTTCTCTTCTCTTGTTCTTCCCTTTCGCTTCTTACACTTATCTTCTTCTCCACTAATTCCTTCCTTCTATGAGGCTCTACCGGTACTATAGAAAGAGGAGCAATAGATAGATAGATAGATAGATAGATTAGGCTGTGTATTCTAATATATGTGTATATAATAAATAATGGTTAAAGACTTTTTTTTACGTTTAACTACTGTTCTCCACACACACACACACACACACACACACACACACACACACACACACACACACACACACACACTTGTTTACATAATTTAGACAGCCAGTAAGCCAGTGGTCAGTTGGATGGGTCATAGAGTTGAGGAAGGTCGACGGAGGTAAACAAACACTTGACATTAAGTGTGCTGAGCCGAGACTCGAACCCGTGTTCTCAAGTTACAGGTACACGGTAGTAGCCATCTGGCCAGGTATGCGAGGATATTACGTATTTGCTTGAAGTTTACATGCTCGCGTACACGTACACACACAGGTGTATACATAGTTTACATAGGTATACTTATACACAACAACCACATCTTAAGTTTACGAGTTGCATGACCCAGTATCAAGGAATAGTCCGAGAAGACCGGACAACTTGCCAACTGCACTGGCTAACCATTACCCCGGAACACGATCCGCAAATCAATTAACATCCAGGTCCCCAATTACTGCTGGGTAGACAGAGGCAAACGGCGTAAAGAAACTTACCCATAGTTTCACCCTGCCCGGGGATTGAACCCGGGACTGCTCACTTGCGAGGCGAGCATACATACATACATACATACACACAATGTTTGTAAGTGAACGAGTATAATTCACGGTAGATCATATGGACAGATGTAACATGAATAGAACTGTGTCTCCAAGTATCTATTTTCATCTCCTTAATTCAATGAGACAACCCAAGACTCTCCTAGACCGAGTGTCCTTTGTATCTGCATTTAGATATATATATATATATATATATATATATATATATATATATATATATATATATATATATATATATATATATATATATATATATATATATATATATATATATATATATATATATATATATATATATATATATATATATATATATATATATATATACAGACAGACGGATACATAGACAGAAAGACAGGAACAGATTGATAACCTCTTCTACGCCTGATTCTTGGTGTCGAGGTGTTCCCGAGGGCGGATGGCTGTCGACGCCTCTATTACACTGACCCTAACTTTAACGCAAGGTAAATTAAGACTTACAAACTATTTCCTAACTTAGAATAACGCATAAAGACCTTAGTTGTTGAAGCGTAGTAACAACAACATCGTGTCTTCAGGAGAGCTACAACTCGTGATAGGTTCAGCCAAGTCAATATTGTTGTTGTTCTTTGCCGCTGCTGCTTGCTGTACAACAAAACTGCCTTAATTCAAATTGAAATTGAATTTATGTAAACTTTGTAATCCGCCTACTACTTGCTTCCTTCCCGCAGCGCCGCATGTGCAAATGCGTGACGCCTGCACGTGTACGCCTTATCGCGTGCGGGAAGGCTGCATTTTGAGGGCCGCATTTTGGCCAGATGTGGGAAGGTTGTGAGCATGAGGTTGCTGTGGGATGTGAGGGAGGCCGCATGGGGAAGGTTGTGATGTGAGGGGAAGGTTGTGGATGTGAGGAAGGTTGCATGTGGAGGGGAAGGTTGTGATGTGGGGAAGGTTGTGATGTGAGGAAGGTTGTGATGTGAGGAAGGTTGTGATGTGAGGGAAAGTTGTGATATGGGAGAAGAGAAACGTTGTGTTTATAATTGGCTGAAATAATTAACGTCAGGTACACATTCGCGCCTCAACACCTGGAGGTCAAGAGGTCATGTGTCACCAAAGGCCTCATTAACCTCATGGCCTCGTGACCTCTCCTGACCTCTACTGGCACCCCCCCCCCCACCGTATCCACCACAACCACACCCCCCCTTTCCCTTTACCTCTTTCCTTACTTCATATCTTCGTTAACCTATTCTATTCTTGACCTTTTCTACCTATTCTTTTGTTTATTATCTACTCTTTCCTCAATTCGTATTCTTCTTTATTCTCTCTTCTTCTCTAATCTCACCTTCCCTAATCACTCTTAGTCTGACCTCAAACTTCAATACTTTTTTTTTCCATTTTCCATTAAACACTTTTCCATCTATGGCCAATCATACCCTCTCACCCCACTCCTCAACCCCTCTCACCCCACTCTCCCTCCCTCTCACCCCACTCTCCCTCCCTCTCACCCCACTCCCCAACCCCCCACTCCTCCCATTATCTCACTTATTGTATCTTTCCTACCGTGTCTTCTACCTCTCCTTTCCACTCTTTCTTCATCTCCCTCACCTTACGAATCTCTAACCTAACCTAACCTAACCTAACCTAACCTAACCAGGTCTATTAAAACTCTTCCTCTTTTCCCACAATTTGCAAGTCTCAACCTCCGTCTTAACCTAACCATTTAG